GCTTCTGCTGGAAAATGTGGATAGTTTCAAGCTGACAGTGCAGTATAGAGGATGTATTCCAGGGAATGCCATTTCATGACTTTCATAAACACTAACCTTTAGTGAGTAGGGGTGGTGTTTTCAGCCTGAGGACTATGTACAGTCTGTAGATGTTTAGAGACTTTGTAAACTCCCTAAAATTGTTAGACAAAATCCCTAGTCATCTCTGTGTTTATGGGAATGAGGGGAGAGCAGAATCCACAGCTTGGTGATGTCCTCAGAAGGCACTGTGATGCATAGAAAGGTTTGAAACCACTGTTCCAGGGGCAGAAAGCTGAAGCCAACTTACAAAGCAGAAAGTTCAGGCCTGCCACAAAAAGCCCTTCTAAAGTTGAAGAATTTCTCTTTTAAGACCAGTTTCTCATTCCTTCCCCTGAGTTACCAAACTCTTGCCACTCCACCCTGACCCACTGACGTTTTGTTCCTGGCTGTTCTCCCACCCAAGGGCTGCTTCCTCACTCATGGAACTGGTCTCTGTGCCAACCCATAATAAGTGTCCACCCCAGAGGCTAAGAATAGATGCAGTGTCCTGGTGACTTGAAAATTAAATAACATCTGAAGGATGAACTCTATAGTGACCACAAAACTCATTCTAATCATTTAACCAAACAGATTATAAACATACAATCAGAATTTCCTTGCTGAGCAAGTGAAAAAAAAATAAAAGCCCTATTAGGTAGAGGAAAAAAGCAGCTACTGTTCATAATGGTAAAGGACCAAGAAAAAATATGAAAGCAAATACATTCTTCTGTTTTTCCACACTCCACCTTTCAGCATCTCCTTAACCTGACCCCTCACTCCTACAGATCCTATTCTATCAGACAAGCTACATACACTTCTTTCAAGCAAATATTTTTTTTCTGTTCATTTCTCCTTAATGCATTTTCTTAGATTTGTATATATGTTCTTCACATTTCAGTGTGTGCGACCTTGTGCATGTCAATTCCTTAACCTTTCTGGGTAATGTGTCATCAGTACAATGAAGTTGGGTGAAGGATCTCTAAGTTGCCTTTCAGTCTCCTTTACCTATAGTAGCTGCAGGAATGGATGGCCATTGCAAACAGATCTCATAAGTATTTCTTATTCCCAATTTGCCGGTTATTTCCAAGAATTTCTAGGTACTTTCTATAAGGTATATGTTTTTAATTTACTATGAAAGACAAAAATATCTAGCATTCCCTGGGCAATATAGCTAAATAGAACAAGGGTCAGCTAACATTTCCTGTAAAGGGCCAGATAGTAAACATCTTATGCTTTGTGAGTGATTAAGGTATCTGTCACAACTCTTTCATCTCTGTTGTTGGAGTGTGAGACCAGCCAGGGATAATATGTAAATGGGTGTGAACCTCTGTGCCCCAGTAAAATTTTATTTACCAAAAAAAGGTGGCAGGGGGATTTGGCACATCCTGTCATTGTCTGCTGACCCTTGAAATAGGAGATTGGCAGACCTGGCAACCGGACGACAGGAGTGTCTTATCCCTTCAGTCCTTCTGTTTGCAGGCTGTTTCCTGGACGGTTTCCTGATGAATTGTTTTGTTGTCATCATTATTGTTGTTGCCATTGTTGTGGTGTCAGACAAGGAATGTTCAATTATTTTAGCCACCCACAGCTACCTCACTCTCCGTGCCACAAGCAAAGAAAGAAGTGAGTAGGCCTGCCAGCTTGGAGGGAAGGCAACAGTTAAGGCAGCTTGTTTCTCAGGCCAGAGATAAGTAAATGGCTTTATCAGCAGACAGCTCAGAAGATGAATAGCCTGGAGGAACAATTGAGCAGTTAGTTCCTTGAGACAGGGAAAGAAGAGGAAAAGAGGGAAAGAAAGAAGAGAGGGGGAAAAAAAAAGATTGATTGAACAGCAAACCAGTATGTGAGGTCCACTGTACAGACTTGCCCAGCTGGGTACTTTATCTTGAATTTGTTTTGCAAATTGCAGATGCCTAGCTCTGGAAGCCAAGAAAAAGAAAGGGCAGTCATCCCACGCCAAAATCTCAAATAACCCACATTATTTCATTTTTGTGGGAGGAAAATCATTAAATATCCAACTTCTAAATAAGTTAAGAGAAACGGACACTTTATCCAGATACCTAGAATGACACAAATATTTTTAAAAATTTTTTAATAGTAAGAGGACAATACCTGCCCTATAACTTTGATTCCTTTGTGAAAGTTACTGTGTCACTCTTCATCCCACAAAACTGCTTTAGCAGCGAAATTGACTGAATTCAGTAAGTCCTAATGTTTCAATATTCTTCAATGAAACAGTGGATGTTTTTGTTTGCTGCTTTAAGAGACGTGTAACTGCACTTCATTTTACCTTTTGGTGAAATCAGCCCTGATTGATGGATCCCTTGTATTGCCTTACAATGAAAGAAAGAGGTAATCCCAGAATTTTATTAGTTAACATTTTTTAAAAAGATCTCACACATATTGACCATGATTTGCAGAGACATTTTGTGGAATTACGACCCAGTGGCCAGCCTCTCCTCCACTGTTTGCTACTGAGATTTACAAGATTTTCTTTATACATACCATTTCTTTAAATATTTATGCTAGAAATGTTCAATTAGATGCCAGTTGGTTAGGCTGGAGGAGTAGGATTTTTTCTTATTTTTAAAATTTCGACTTTTTTCAA